AATAGCTGAAACTTTTATAATATTAATAGACAATATAGCCTTTTCAATTTCATTAGCAATATTAATTGCATTTTGTTGAATTTGTTCAGTAGGTTTTGCAAATATAAATATAGGAAATATAATATTTGCCCAATGCTCATTATTTAAATTAGACCTAAATAAATTAATATAAAAGTTAACTTTTTTATTTAATAAATTTTTAATAATTTAAAAATAATAAAATTTAACTTAATATTTAATTTGTAATCTGCTAGAGAACCAGTAAAATAACATAGTAAATTTTGGAGATATGTTTACTATATAAATTTGGAATCTGGACGTTCCTGAAGGATAACCCGGTTTTTACTAAGTAAACCTCTCCTTAACTTCTAATAAAAGTTGTAGAAGAAAGAATTTCAAGCATAATAGTAGTTAAAATGTTAAATTTGGCCTAGTGGATCATGAGATATAGGCATTTTTGTCTTTGTGACTATATGTTTACTTCTTTGTTTATACAAAGAAGTTACAAAGACAAAAATGCCTATATCTCATGAACCACTAAGCCGAATTTAAAGTTTCAACTACCATTATGCTCGAAATTCTCTTCTCTACAACTTTAATTAAGACTTGAAAAAAGATTTGCTTAGTAAAAAATCGATTTATCTTTCAGGAACATCCAGATTCCAAAAAAGGCAAAAAACAATAGTAAATTTCCTCACAGTTTACTATGTTTTTTCACTGGTTCCTTGGCGGATCACGAATTAAATATAAAAAATTATTAAAATTAAAATAAAATAAATTTTTAAATAAACTTTATAAGGCTATACAAATTTAATTACTTAGTTTTTATAACATAAAACTTTTAAACTACCTAGCTTTTTTTAAAAAATTATATATATAAATTTTATAAAATTTATATAAAACAACTTTTTAAAATAAGTATTAAAACACAAAAATTTTTTTTAGAAGTTTAAAAATTTGTACCCAGCCAGATTATAAAAACTAATTAGTTAATTTTGTATAGCCTAATTTATTATTATAATATTATACTGTATAGTCATGAAATAATGCACAAAGGTGTAATTTTAAATTTTAGTCTAAATTAGGCTTAATTCGGGCTGAAATTCAAAATAATGCCCCTGTGTGTTATTTCATAACTATACAGTAATAATTTATAATAATATTATAAATTTAAATATAATATAATATAATTTTAATTCTTTCTAAACCAATATATAATATTAATTATTTTATTTTATATTATAAAATATCTAATTTTATATAAGTAATAAGTAATTAAATTTAATTAAATATAAAATATTTAAATATTAAATAAAATAATTTAAAGATTTTATATAAATAAATTATTTTTATTAAATATACTTACTATCTATCTGTAATTATATGAATATTTTCTACTTTATCTATATACTGTTGAACTTTAAGACTTGCTTTTTTATTTACTTGATTAAGTAATGTTGTTGAAAGTTTTTTTCATGTAGGCAATTTGAATGATGGACGTACTTTTTTAAAAAGCTTAATAATTGGTTCAAGCTTAGAAAAGGAAAGCGAAAGACCACATTGAAATATAGCTTCTGCAAAACTAAATTCAAGTTTCTTTTGTTCACTAGTACTTAGTTGATCAAAAAATTGAGTAATATCACTATTTTATTTATTTGATAATATTGATGATTGACTAATTGATTATTTTTTTGTATATCTAGGATTAGGACTATTGATTCTAGAATGTTCAAAATCTTGCCCAAAATATTCTTGCAAGACAGAAATATTTACATTAGAACATACTTTAAAATGTTCTTCACATCGTACTACTTGCACATTCAAAAGGACAATAATTGCATTTTGCTCTTTCTTGTGTAGATCTATCTACAATTCCTAACTTTGTAAAATGGTCCCAAATTTTTTTTGGTTTTGCCATTAGAATAAGAAAGGTTTAATAATGGGTAAAAATTTTTATTATCTAAATTTATAATTATTATGCATGTGTTGCATCTAAAGTATCCACTGTATAAAGTAGTTACTTTAGCCATTTAACGTCATATACGAATCTGCTTAATTTTAGTCAGGCGTTACTTTATATATCTAAAGTAGCTACTTTAGATAGATCGCTACTTTAGATGCAATATGTACAAGTTTAATTTATCTAATAAGAATGCTTCTTTGAGAATTATCTGTGTTGATTAATTAACAAATTTAATTGGTCAATTGGCATACCAGGCCCTCTTAATAAATGATCGGCAAAAATTTTAGCATACAGTACGTACAGTATGGCTTATGTATCGATCAATGTCTATCCGGAGATTTTCTAGGTAATTTCTAAAAGTAGGTAAATTATTTCATTTCAAGATTTTCTTTACGTCTGACAAAATTTTCATCAGATCATCGCATGATGACAATAGTTATCGTAAAGATATTCTATTGTTGCTGTTAATTGTGTTTCTGGATTTACAATATATTGTGTAGGTCATAATCTTCTGATTTTTATTGTAAAATACTCATTTCCTTTCTTAGTAAATTTATCTATTTCGTAGAAGTAGATATGGTTCGGTATCTTGCTTCAGATTTCTGGTTGTATTCATAATTCGTATAATGTAGGTATTTTTTCTACTGCTGTTACTACATTTAACCTATCTTTTGGTTCAAATATAAATAAGTATTTTATATCGTAATAATCATTAATTATTTTATCTACTCTTCAAAGTTGTTTCTTGTATTTCTTAATAGCTTCTTCTAATGTTTCTTTATAGTTTTTGAATCGTAGAATGTCTATTCTCGTAGTCCATTCTGGTTGTTTGTTATGATTTTTAAATTCTTCTTCTGTTATTATTAGTGTTTCTTTGAGTTCTTTTTCATTTTCTAATGTTTCAATATCTGAATATAGATATTTTACATTAGGTATTGATGAATGATATTCTTGGTATTCTTCTTGGTAATATGCTTCTATTTCTGTGAATATTAATTCTATATTTTGTTGAAACATAGGTATCAATAGTAGTTGTATAGTTTCTTCATATGTATACCATTGCCATGGTTCTGCTTTATCTGGTTCTGTTTGTTTTGGTATCATATATTCGTCTGCAGAATATATGAATACTGTTTTTTCGATTCTGTATTTTGCTTCTAAGGTTAGACAATTTCTTTGCGAAGTCTATTTCATAGTACTTAATGCTGTTTCTGACCAGATGTTTATTAATTTGGTTTCGTTTAATACAATGTTAGCTTCTTCAAAGATTTCTCGGAGTATAGTTGCCTTTGCAGTTTCGCATGTTTTTCCATTTTTGTCGAAATTCCTTTTTCTCCCATTCCTTGGTTATGAAGATAATATGGTTATTGAGGGTTGTTTTATAAGGATAAACATATTTTTGTTTTCCCATCTTCTTTCTTGAATAAAGCTAATTATACTATTCTTCGTAGTGGTAGGTTTATATTTTATATTAGTGAATCCATTATTAACTGAAGATTTCTACATTTTCTACAGTTATCAAAATATTCAGTTCTATTATCATCATATATTTCTTTGTAATCATGGAAGGTTGTATATTCTTTACTGTTTTTACATTTCTACATCCATTCTAATATACTCAGAATTGATGTTGATTCCCTTTTAGATTTCGTTTTGGATTTCTTGATTTATTTCTTCAATGATCTTTCATGCTTGTAATTCTATTTAATATTGTGTCAAGTTATATTCTTTATTTTCTGCTTGTTGTCTACAACTTTTACAAGTTATATCAAAAAAAAAACTCTTTCTGTAGATCCTTAGTACAAAAAATTTTCCAAAAACCGTCCAACAAAAAAGTTCATTTTTACAATAT